CTTTTTTTTTTTAATTTTCCAAGTTGAGCTTCCTAAATAAAACACGAGTACAAGACACACTTGTCGCAATCAGTCTTTCCTGCAATGAAATGACTAATCCTGAAGATAAACGGTCTAAAGAGTTACCAGCCCCAGTGCAGGCCATGGGGTAAGGGATGAACTGAGCTGCCTCCCTCTGTGTCTGCTCCTGGCCATGTAGATGCCAGTGCAGGAGCAGCAATCCCTGCCTAGAGCCACTGGCTCACTCCTTTCAAACCACGGTGGCCCCCAAAGCCCCACAGGTGATTCCAGGCAGAGGAGCACCAGCACCCACCAAGTCCTGACCTGACTTCAAGGCGATTCAAAACCATTCCAGGAGCCCCCATGAGCAGCTGGGTAGCACAGGGAAGGCAGTTCCATTCCCCTGCACTAGGATCCAGCCACTGGCGGAGCCTTCTCCTGGAGTTCCTTCTCCTTCTGGGATTTTGGGGGTCTCCTTTGCCCTCAGCCCCCAGCAGTCTGGGGGATGCCCTGGGAGCTGCAGGCAGGGCCCCTGGCAGGAGAGCAGGGCCAGGCTCAGCACCAGTGTCAGGGTGGGGGGCAGCACGGGGTCAGGTGTGAGGGGCAGGGGGGAGAAGCGGGCTCAGGTGGAACACTGGAAATGGCAGCGGATCTCAATGATTCAGTGAAGAAAAGGACTGACAAAGCTCACAAAGCTCACAAAGCCAGCGGGAGGCAGCTGCTCCCCCACCCCCTTCCCTCCCAGCGCTCACTCTGCTGCTGCTGGGAGTTATTCTGCAATTGGGGGGGCACAGGAGACCCCCCCACTTGTCACATCCACAGAGCTCCTGAGTCCTTCCCAGTGACCCTCAGAACGCAGTAGAACCCTTGTTTTTTTGGGTGGCTCCTGCCATGGAGAAGGATGGGGGTGTTCTTACCATTCATTCAAGTTCTACTTAATGTGGGTTGGTTTGGTTTTTTTCCCCTTCTCTTGAAATGTTTGTTCCTCATAAGGGGATTTTAATTTTAGAGACAGCAGCGCTTCTGCAAAGTGAAATGATTTCTGAGATCCGAGGGCCAGGTGATGGAGGTGCCGTCAGGGAGGGAGGGAAAGGCAAATGAATCCCTTGTGTAGTTCCCTTGGATTCTGGGAGGCATCCCAAAGTGTGTGTCTGTGACGGGATCAGGCTAGGGGAAGAACATGCCTTTGTGCTGTGCCAAAGAGGGGCAATTGTGCTCCAGAAGTGCATTTCACTTCTGCAGTGAAGTTTTCATCCCTGTGAGAGCTGGAGAAGGATCACTGGGAGGAGTCAGGAAGGAGTCAGAGCTGCCTTTCCCAAACAACTGCCAGAGGAGCCATCAGGAAAACTTTCCCTGCGACATGAAAGGCTGTAGAGCTCAAGGCCGAGTCCACACACACGGCTGTGCCCCAGCGTGCCCCTCTGCCCTGGGTACACGTGGCCCTGAGGGGACCGGGGGTCTCCATGGGGGTGTCCAGGGCCCAAGTGCCAGGAAACACATCCTGGTGCGATGTGGGAGCGTGGGGCTCAGCCAGCTGGTCCTGCTGCACCCCCAGTCACCCCTGTCACACACAGAGGGTCTGTCACGCACACACATGTACTCACACACATAACCCCCCACCTCTCCCACGCCCCCGGGCTCCCCTCCCACCTCCCAAACCCCCCCCTACCACCAACACACACAGCAACACCCCTCAGACCATTTGTGCCCTCTTGCATGCACACCCCTGCACACCCCACACACCCGCACGGCCCCCAAAACACTCACCCCACACACCCCCAGACTCACACCCCCATGAACGCCTGAGTCCCCCTCCCAGACTCTCCTTCTCTTCATCCCACATATCCCCGTGTCCCCCCAGACTCTCACCCCCACGCACTCCTGTGTACCCCCAACTGCTCCCCCAGACTCTCCGCCCCTCCACCCCCCCGTATCCCCGACTGTCCCCCCGTGTCCCCCCGACTGTCCCCCCGTTCAGCACCGCGGACAGATCCCGGCCCCGCTCCCATCACGTGGCTCCCACCGCCCCTATATAGCGCGGGTGCGGGCGGCGCAGAGCGGCGCGTCCTGCGGGAGGAGCGGAGCGGAGGAGAGCGGTGAGACACGCACCGGGAACCGGGACAGCCACCGCCCCGAGAGCCCCGGCCCGAGGAGGAGGGTCCCGACCCCGGGAATGTCCGGTCCCGGGGAGAGGACGGTCCCATCCCGGGGTGGGAGAGGGTGTCCCGTTACAGGGGGTTCGCAGGTCCTGGGGGTCCCGTCCCAGCTGCCGCGCGTGTCTTATGCCCGGAGGGGTGTCCCATCTGGGGAGAAAGGGTGTCCCGTCCCCGGGTGGGTGGGCTCCAGCCTGCGTGGGGGTCCTGTCCCCAGAAGGGTCCTGTCCCAGCGACGGGGGGTGGAGTTCCCGTCGCGGGGGGTGGGGGTCCCGTCCCGGGGGGCTCCATCCCCAGGGGATCTCATCCCTGGGGCGGGGGTCCCCCATGGGGTGAAGCCCCTGGAGTGACCCCTAACCGCAGCAGGGGGATGTGGGGGTCCGGGGTGTGGGGGGGCTGCCCTTACAGGCACCTGGCCCCGGAGTGGCTGCGATGCGGGTCAGGATGATTTCGGCTGCCTCCGTCCTCGTCCTGCTCTTCCTGCCCTCGGAGACCTGCTCACCCCTGCAGTGGCCCCGGGGTCCATCCCGCAGGCTGACCCTGGCCCCCCAAGCCACCTGGGAGCCCTGGATGGGCGCCCCGCGACCCTCGGTCCCTGCCGCCCATCCCCTGCCTCAAAGACTGTGCCAGCTCCACGGGGCAGAGCCCACCCCGGCCCCCCGAGCCCCGCGGGCGCTGCAAACCGGCAAGAGGCGAGACGGCAAACCCAATTCGTTGGATCTCACCTTCCACCTCCTGCGCGAGTTCCTGGAGATGTCCCGGGAGGAGAGACTGGCCCAGAAGGCACTCAGCAATAAGCTCTTGCTGCAGAGTATAGGAAAATGAGGGACGGTCGCTGAAGGGGGAAATGAAGGAGATCGACCCCACAGCGAGACGCCACGGCACAGCAGAGAACGGGGGGAATGCCGGGGGCTGCAGCCGTGCCCAGGGAGCCCCCACCTTGCCTGGCAGGGTCCCTGTCACTGCGTCCCGCGTGTCACTGTTGTGCATTAAAGTCACCCTCGTACCTGCCCTGCTGTTGTACTTTTATGCATCCTCCCCCCGTCATGAACCTATCACCAAACCAGGTCTCCCCCCAAACACCGGAGCAATCCCAGATGTTATCCCTGGGTGAAAAGCAACAGCATAAAGAGCTCTGAGCGGTGCAGCCTGTGCCTCCTCGGCTGGGAGCTGCACCCCGGGACCCAGCCAGGGCTTCTCCTCCTCCAGTATACCTGTGAACGGCTCAGAGAGCCGCCGCTTCCCGGCTTCGCAGCAAGTCTGCACCTTGCTGTGTCGCAGCTGGGAATTTGGGACAAGGTCTGAGGTTGGCAGCGCTCAGAGGAAGATGAGTATCCATGTAAAAGAATCGGCAGCAAGAGCATTGCAGGCCCCCCAAGGGGTCCTTGTCCCCTCCCTCCCCACTCTGTGTCCTCTCTGGGGCACGGAATCCCCCCCCCCCCGCAGCTCAATCCCCCTCCTGCAATCACAGCCCCGTGCTCAGAGTTGCTGCTCCCACCCCAGCCTGTGCAGGGTCTGCTGCTGGGCACGACGGGGCTGAAGGGGGTCTGGGAGGGCTCCCAGGCACTGACCGTCACTGTGGAAGGAGGGAAAGTGTCCTGGGGCCCTCTGCAAACTGGGGGTAGCTCGACATCCCCTCACCACGGCCAGCTCGGCCACCCCAGCCCTGGCTGACTTACTGGGGTGGGCACAGGGATGCACAGGACCTCTGCCACCCTCGGGGTATTGGAGAGGGGACAGTGAGGGAGTGGAGACTTGTGGGGTTAGGACAGAAATCATGACAAGGATCAGACCATGCCAAGATGGGAGCACAGGGAAGCGGGAAGGAGCACGTGCCTAAGTTGAGCAGCTTGGGCTTGGCTTTGTGACACCAACCTGGTGTGATCCTGCACCCCACACCTGCCTCTCCAGAGGGGCTGCTCTGCCCCAGCACCTTTTCCAAATGAGGCCACAGCAGCTCACAGCCAATGAGCCAAACGCTGGCTGGACCGCTCCAGCATCCTCCACCCACTGCATCATGCACTTCCTTAGCACCTCCAGGTGACATTTTGCTCCCATGATCCCCAAGAGCACAATGTCACAGAATCCCAGAATGGTTTGGGTTGGAAAGAACCTTAAAGCTCATTTCATTCCATCACCCTGCCATGGAACCCTCCACTAGACCCATCTGACCAGACAACCTCAAACCTAAACAGGACGATTTTTTGCTCACCTCCATCAAACACGGAACTCATCTTTCCAAAATGAACAATTGTAGGGAAGCTGTGCAGGTCAGAACAGATGCTGGTGCCACCCCCAGCAGGAGCAGCCCTGCATTCCCCCAGGCCTGGGTGGCTGGATGGGTCTGTGCTGCCCTGGCTCCCACCTTGGCTTCCATCAGTCTTGTAGCACCCTCAGCACATCTTCCGCTCATCTTTGCTTCAGTCTCTCTGCTGGCGACACCAGGAGCAAAACCACTGTCCAATAACCTGAGCTTCTCCAAAAAAGGGTATTTTTACTGCAGTCAGTCAGACATCTCCTGCCCCCTTCCCCAGCCCTGAAACAATTTCCCACCCCACCTGACAACTCTAACCTGCACTTACACGCCAAATACCTGCCAGACTCTGGCACCACAGGAAGATCTTTGGCCTTTAAGGCTCAGAACCAGCTGGGACCCTATGGCAGGTGCAGGAGGGGCAGAGGGGAGCAACTGCACTCCCTGCCTGGGGGACCCTGCATCCAACCCCACACAATGTGCCCGTCCCAGGGACAGGTGACCTCTCCCATCTCCCCCCAGCCCCTCCGTGTCCCACAGTCTCTCGCACCAACTTCCAGGGTGCAGATCTGGAAAGAAAAAGCCGGTGGGCATTTCTGCATTGAAAACATTTATTTTACAACAGTGGTTTCCGATAACTTAGCAATCTTTATTTTAGTTTATATTCGGACATACAAGACACAAATTACCATGCTAAAACAGAAAATAATTCCTTCTGCCGTCGCTGCGGGTATGTACAGGAGCTCAGTAGTATCGAGTGTTACAATCCACAAAGTTCAGACAGCCACGTCTACTTACAGACAACTCAAAGTATGGTCCTTTAGTAACATAACAAAATAGATATATGTCTATATTATAATTGCTTCTCAGATGCATTTATACTTCGATTGTGGTGGGTTTGGGGTTTTTTTTATTTTTTTATTTTTTTTTTTTTACTATTTTTTCCTTTTTTAAAGATGGGCTCCCCCCTACCCCCACCCCCCACCCGAGTTGAAGTGCAGTGCAAACGCAAACGCGCCTCTCCCGGCGCCCTCAGCTCCCGCCAGCTCCGTAAGGAGGCCGGGACAACCAAACCCCATGAGGAATTACACAGTTCAGGGCCTTGCTCACATGCAAAATGAACATAAACCGCCTGGGATGTCAGCAGTGACACCAACCAACCCATCCACACCCCGCCCCAGCCTGGCGGGCGACAGTGGGATGAGAGGGAGGAAGGAATGACAGCGACTGGCTCAGCATCCAGCAAGGAAACAGCGCGTTTGGAATTGGCAAACTCGGAGTTCATCAACCATGATGGACACAAACAGAACTTCAGAGGTGCCAGCAGTAAAAATCTCCCCAGTATTCCCCCATTTCTGCTGTGAAGCAGGAACCCCCGGTGTGCTGCATGTCAGGAACAGCCCCTGGAAGGATCGGCCTGAGGAGGAGGGCGGCAGCAGCTCCACCCAGCATGTGTAGAGGGGACGTGGTGGGACTCACACGTACATTGGCCACAACTGTTGTGCCTTCACATGGATCACTGCCAGCTTCAGGTTTAGGAATTTCAGTAACTCCAAGTCCTTACAGAACCAATGTGCAAGCAGAGGGACTGCGCCCGGCCGTGCAAACACCACACTGCTCACGTGGGAACTCACCCGAGCAGAGCGTGGGGAGCAGAAGGTGCTTCCCCCACTTGTGTGACCCATTTATTTATACAACAGGCTCCGTGTCCTCAGCAGTCCCTTGACCCTATGGGTCTGGTTTGGGTTTTCCTGCAGCTGAGAGGAAAGAAGCACAAAAGAGGAACACACCTTCCACTTGTCTGGCTGAGTTCAGAGCAGTACTTTGAGCCAAATTTCACGTTTTTATCACCAAATTAAAACCAGCAGCAAGTCCTAGGTGCACACCTGTTGTATAAATATATACATATGTGCATATATACATACATACACACGCGTGATGCTGCAGCCCACAGCCCTCAGCACAGGGTGGACCTTGCTCTGTGAGCTCACCCAGCCCCACTCCGGGGAGTCCAACGTGGTGAAAACTAGGGAAAAACCCCAAATCAATGTGTTCTATCACAGCTCCAGTGATGAGCACATCGACCACATCTGAACACCCCACGGACCAGCTGCACGAGTCCAAGTCACTCCAGAGCTGCCCCTGTGCCCTCTGCCGGGTCTCCCTTCTCTCCTCCAAAGGAAAGCTGGAGCAGGCAGAGGGGGCCAGGACAAGGGGCAGCTCATGGAATTCAAGTAGACTGTTAAATTTTTGGAATGGTTTGACAAGCAACCGCTCACAGACTGCAAGAGCACACCCACAGGGCTGGCTGTGGGGAGAGGGAGCAGAGAAGACAATGGCACTCGGGAATGAACAGCCAGTTTATATAAGAGCTTCCTCTATACATATACATATATATATATATATAACCACCAGAAATTTCCAGCATCTATCCTTTTAATACCAAAATCAACTGTGCATGTAACATTGGCATAATGAAAGTTTGTCTTCCAGATTTCTGGCATTTGGCTTGTGCAAACATCAAGGACAGCCAGGTTCCCTCCCGCGGCTTCTCCTCGTAAAGAAAGCGTCTTCTTAGAAGGACACGGGAATTGCAGTCTTGCCGAGTCCCAGATAGTCCCAGTAAGTCTCCCAAGGTAGTTCATGGAGCAGACAACGGATCTTGTGGGAGCTGAACACTGACAAATTTCCTGCCACCTGGTGAGCTACCGGTTATGATTCTTTCGAGAGATTTTAAGCAGCTGTTGGTGCAATGAGACACTACAAACTAGATGATTTCCACTAGAACACAGAGAAGCGGCACCAGATGATGAAGCATGTGAAGTTTATACCAACCTGACACTACAAACACGAGTACTGGGGGGTTACAGCTCAGTGCTCCGAGATTAACGCGCATTTAAACACCATCCAGAATTATTAACACGAGGTGGGGGCTGCAAACACCGCCCTGACCACCCTGCCAGGGTCACCTGTTAAACATGATGCCAAGATACAGGTACACTGGGTACAAAAAACCTGCAGCACAAATCTCCTAAATTATCCAGAAATGGCAAAAGACTGAAGGGCGCAGGGACAGATGAAGGGCACAAAGTAGGTGAGAGAAGCAGGTGCCTCTCTCACGGAGTGTGTGTGGTACGAACGCCCTGGTACAGCCCCCCAAAGTGCACTGGTGTCCCGCCACACCACACAACCGCCTCGTGGATGGGACAGGAATAGCTTTTCCATCAGGCTCCTGCCCTGGTTACACCCGTGTGAGGGTGTTTCCAGGCTGACAGGAAAGGGGTGGGAGAGTTGCACTGCCCTGACCGCAGCCCTGCTGCAGGACTGGGTGTTTCTGTGCCCAAGCACTCCTCAGTTCTGCTCCTCCAAACCTCCAAGAGCATCCCACTGTAAGAACACTAGGAGTGCTAATATCTAAAGCAGTTTAAAAAGCTTACAAATCTAAAAAGAAGACTAAAAAGGGAACATTTCTCTAAAACGTCACTGCATGGGACCAGCAGAAACCGACACCCTACGGGACGCCACCGAGGCTTACATAAATTTATATACAGATAAATATTTAAGAATTTCCTACAAAAATCACTAACAAAATGAGACTGGCATTTAAGGGCTGCAATGCCCCTCCAGTACAGTGCATTGGGGATGCCCCCATCCCCAGGGAGGATGGGCAGGGCAGATCCAGCACCTCCTTCTCCAGCAGCTCCACACACCGGGAGGGACAGACAGCACCCGAGCGCTCTCGGCAGCAGCTTTCCCTCCTCAGCCTAAGCTAGGAATGACTCTCCATGCAACACAGCTCAGGGATAAAGTCAGTGGTCCTGAAAACCAGCTCTCCAGATAGGATTCACCCTGATGGAGCTACAAGTGCTAAGGAAATCAGTGCTGGAGAGGTTGGAGGAGCTGGATGGAGCTGGCTGAACGACTGAAAACGGAGGGCTCAGGCAACTTGTACAAATGATACAACTTTAAATAAACAAATAAATAAATAAAATCCAAGCTCAAGTTTTGATTCTGGCAAGATGTTGGACAGAGATGGACAGTGCTCAGGTTTGATTTTGGAGGGAAACATTCTGCACTAAGCCAGGTCAGGGATGCAGTGTTGGGACACTGCAGCTCCACCTGCCCAAGCTCAGACCTCTTGTCTGAGCTGCTCCACCAGATTTTAAAACATGATTCCAAATATAACTTTGCATTTACTAGGATTCCACTTGGTCATTTTTAAGTGTAACTTGTGTTAAGAGCCCAGGGTACTCCTGTACCTTCCCTCCAAGAGGGGAAAAGTGGGCATTAATCTACTTGTCTTCCAATTACATGGTTTTGGCTTTAAAGGAGGAATGTTTAAATCACTTCCTTACATAGTTCAAGAACTTCATTAATACACAACAATCCTAAAGTCAAGAGATTAGACAGTAACATGGGCAAACTTTAAACAGCTTCAAAACCCATGAATATTCATGTAGAATTATGTTTTTCCATCATTCTCTGTAACCGGGATCTCAGAGTGGTTTCCCTTGGAGCATCTAACGTCACTCTGGCACTTAACAGACTAATTTCCTGTTCACACACCACCCACAGACAAGTGACAGGAAAGCAGTCTCTCTCCAAACTCATCCCTTGCTAAGCAAAGAACTAAAACTGTAGATTTATCTTGGATGTCATCTTTCCCCATGGATAATGGTGCTGCCTCTGGTCCTCACGTGCTGCCCAGATTTTGGTTCATCGGGAGCCTGCAGAGCGACTCCAGGTGTGTCCCACACCTCCTCGGAGCCACAACTTCCCACCAGCCTCCCTGCTTCCATGGAAACAGCCCAGAGGGGTTAAGAAATAAGAGGATTATTTGAAATCAACAGCAACAACCAGCCCCCAGCACATGGGGTAAAGCTGCTCCACAACAACCAGCTTTGTGTTACCACCAAGATGAACGTGGGGACAGGGACTGTAACAGCTCCCAGGGAACAGCTCCCTTCCCCATTCACCAGCTCTCTCCAATCAGCCATGCTCATTTACAAAGCCAAAAATCCCCAACACCTTAGTTTTTTTTACCCATTACACAATTTGCAAGGTCAAGGGCGATTTTAACCAGCCAGTGTTTAGGGACAAAGCCTATAGATATCCGAGCATATTCCAGCCTGCAATTCTACATCAAGACTGGGCTTCAGGCAAAATCTACAAGGACAGTCAAAAGTTGGGTGTAAGCCTAAAAACTGCTTTTCCTTCCACGGGGTCAAACAAAGACATTATTAAATAAGGACCTCAAGCCAAATCATACTCAAATGTCCTCAAGGCCACCTAAGTCAGAAAAAGTTAAAAGTATCCTGCAGTAAACTACTGCATTTCAGGTCTAAAAGGACTGTGGGCAAGGAAGAAATGACTTAAGGAGTGTGCTACTGAAATCAAGCCATTAGTTAAAAGTCATGGGGGTTTTTTGGAATTTTGGGGGCCTGATGTGGTACCAAAAGCATGTTGATCTGCACCAAGCTCCCATGCAGGCAAACGTGCTTCTACCAGCAGCTGCAGCAAAGTCTGGGTGCGCAAACATCCCTCACTGAGCACTGAGACCGTGTTAAGAACATTTTCTCCTATCCAGCTTGTTTAACAGGGTTTCATGGTGGATTTTACGTGTTCCATCACTGCTGCTCATGCAAAGACAGAGGGAAAACATATTCCAAATGGTTCTGTGGCAGGAGAGTCCCCGTCCTATCCTGGTGGTTTTCCTACAGACCAGCAGAGCTTTACGATGCTCCCAGGTAACCCCTGGAGCAGCAGATACAGTGGGAAGGTGCCAACATCCCCCCCACAGAAAGAGGGGGGAAAACAAAACAGGGAAATGGGGGTGCAAAGGACAGCAGAGTGATAAAAAGCAGAACGATCAAAACTAACGAGGCCGTAATTACCCGCTCAAAGTGCCAAGTGTGGGTTCTCTGCAGCTGTTCTAGACCCTGATTCTGTATCCTCTAAAGCAGGATCACTGACAACAAAATACACCAGCAACTCAGCAGCTGCCTAAAATACCTTTTTAACAGTTAAATTCAATAAACCATGGTTTATTAGAGCAGAATTTGGACTTGATTTGGTTTCAAAATAGAACAGGAAAACCTTTCAGGGGTTTCCACATAGTTGTTCTGAGGAAAAGAAAAACACTGGTGTAAACAAATCTAAATGCAAGACAATGTGCAAATTATACAATATAAACACAAAGAAAGGTGGCTTGTTCTTAAAAATCCATTTAAGTACTACACAAAGGTGTTCATGAGAAAATTAAAGGGTTAGTGTATTATAAAAGCTTTTAAAAAAGACAGGTAATACCCCATTTGTCTACTAAAATCTCAAATTATCAGAACAAATTCTTACAAACCAATTTTTTGAAACACTTCTGCTGTTGCCTGCATTTTACTCACTTCCTCAGTGAGAGCCAATTAACCAGTTTCACTTTAAGATTCTCATGCATTCAGAAACAAAGCTGCACTATTTGGTCTTTAGCATTTCAGGAAAACAACTGAACTCAAACCAAAACAGAATTGTGCTTGGAGTTAAAATCTCACTGCCACCACCACAGGAGCCCATTCCCAGTTGGTTTTGGTTCCATTGTCACTGGAGATCGCCTCACACACAACGAGCTGTTCAATTTACTGTTCAAAGATTGGCATCTCTCCCTTTTTATGTTTCAAGGTAGATTTATTTAAGCTGAAAACCAGCATTAGAGAGGACTCCAGCTCTGCAGGACTGGCATTTTTTGGTTCTTGGCTTTGTAAACTTGCTTAGATAAAAACGCAGGAATAGGAGGAATGAAAGACTCGGTTTGTTGCACTGAAATGAAAATCCTCAATTTTTAAAGGTCTTTGAGAGCTCAGCTGTACAGAAGAACAGTGGCTTCTGTGACAGTTTTTGAACATAATTTTTAGGCCAGTACTGCTGCTTAAAATGCAGAATGTCTCCATCGCACTGATATTGTGACAACTCAATACTTTACACCACAGACATTGAACATAACTCCATACATGCTATAAAAAAAAAAAAAAACAAACAAAACAGGGAAAATAAAAACCAAAAGAAAGGAAAACAAATAAGACCGTAGCTAAACTGCTTTAAATACTGCATGCTACAGCACTTCACGTATCATCGAGATACGACACTGAAAGGTGACAAAAGGCTGAAGGGATTACAAAATATTTTCGGCAGGTTGGAAAGCTGCCTTCTTACTGTGGCAGAATTATTCCCCCTCCCCATTCTCTACTTCTAATGTTCATGATTCTAGTGTTGAGTTGGCCATGTATTTATTTTTTTTTTTTTTTTATCCATTCTAATGACAGTGTTTCCTTAACTTAATTAAATCCATCAGTGTGGTAGCTGGGGTGAGAGTCAGCTGTGAGCTGGGTTGTCTCTGTGGCTGATGCTGGCTGTATCACAATAGGTGCGTCTGAGGCCTCTGAAAAGGGAAGACAAAAGGCTTAGGACACCAAGGAGCAAACACAGCACTGTATGTTTTGGTAAGCACAAGTCACATCTCCCTGCAACGCTGTGATAACACAGCTTCACGTTCCTCTGAGAGGATGATGTTAATTCCCTGATTTTCAGTGCACACACTGAAATATTTATCATATTTCCTTCTCCCTGTAAGAGCAGCTGACCCTCACCCACCTTCAGCAGTGCCCATTAAAAATGTCATCAGAGCTTACACAAGGCTCTACAATTTTTTTTTTAACTATTGGTTCAATTCTACAGAAAGAGCTTTATACCTTCATGAACAGTATCAGACAGAGCTACTGGGGCAGCAGTGCCAGCTCCTTTACAGCTGACGCAGTTCAAGCTCCCTTGACACCCCCAACCTTTGGGGTACAAGAGCCCCTTTCTGCAATCACACATGTCTGGCCCATATGTTACCCCCAGAGATGTGGAAGGAAGACGAATGATGGTCACTGATTGCTCTGAAGCTGATCCCATCAAGTTCAGTGAAGACCCTCTGGGAGTTTTCAGCGACTCTATATCCGGTGTCAGCGTCACCCACATAGTGCCACAAACACTCCCTGCTCATCACCCACACCCCAAGACCTGTGCTGATCCCTCCACCAGCTCACTGATGGGACTGGCAGGGACTGATGCTTATCTCAGACATCCAGCAGCAGTTTTCACCTACCCCTTTCATCTGACTGCAACTGTGCCTCCAAGTCCTCTGGAGAGACATAGTATTCCTGCTCTTCGCCTTCGGGAGGTTTCGGTTTACACTTCCCACAGCAACAATTACAGCAGCAGCACAGACAGCAGCAGCAGTAGCAGGCTGTGATGAGCCCACAGAACACAAACAAGGCCTGCAAGGGATAGAAAACACAGAAACAGTCATAACCTGTGCCTACTGCACTCTGACCATGGAGTCTGTGAGACTCGGATATAGAACCAGAGAGCAAAAACACAGCAGAGCAAAGACAGAACTCACCAGCTACAGCTTTATTACCTCATCAACAAGAAAGATTTAAAACTATGTGCAAAACTATGGCTCTCCCCATTTTACATGGAGGTGAATACTGACAACCTGGCTTGCTTGAAGAATTCCTACAATTTAGATTAAGTGGACTATTTATTCTGCTGCATCTGGAAGAACATACAGGTCTAAGACTGTATCTGTATTAAAATCCAGAGGCACAACAGTTCAGAACAGACTGTAGCTTGCATTAATATCCCTGACACAGACTGACCTGTGCTGGCTGATGCACAGGTCATGATGTACCTTTGGCAGGGACTTGGATCAGCCCAAGGCTGTGGACATGGCTGGGAGCTCAGGGCACTGAGGTTTGATGCTCCCAGTGTGAGCAAGGCAGCTCCAAGAGAGCCAGGTCTGCCAGGTGCTTATCACAGTGACAATGGGGCTAAATTAAAGTCTCCCTGTAGGTCACTGTACAATTGTTTGAAAAAAAATGATTTTACAGATATCAAACCAGCAGAGTGATATAATTATTCCCTTACTTAGGGGAATCAAGAGAGGGAGGCAATGCTGGTGAAGGGTAGAAAAATGCACCCATGCAATGAAATGTAAGCAGACTTCTCCTGTGTGAGCTCGAGTTCACAGTTAGGACTCATTTTGCAAAACTATTTAGCAGATACTACCAGAGAATACCCCCCCAGATCCTCATCACTTTTAATTCCACTAGAATGGAAGCTTCAATTAGTAACATAAGTCTTTGTACTAGGCCTGCATCACCAAAAGATCATAGAAAAACACTTCTGAACCAGAGATCACAATGCAGGAAGAGGGTTAATTACCAGGTGTCAGAAACGCAGCAAATGTCCAAAAAACAAACCCACAGTTATCAAATGGAGCTCCTACAGAGCTTTCGATGCCAACCCAGAATAACTTCCCTGCCCTTTTATTTACCTTTGCCCACCAGCTGGACAGCACGAAGTATGTGTTCACATTTTCTTCACCAAACTGCTCTGCTACATAGAGCCCCAGAGACCCATACTTATCGTAAATGTTCCTCTTTGTGGCATCGGTCAATATTGCGTGGGCATTATTGATCTCTTTAAATTTTTCTGCCGCCTCTGGGTTATCAGGGTTTTTATCAGGATGATATTTCAATGCCAGTTTCCTGCAGAAAGGAAAAAAAAAAAAAAAAAAAAAAGAGAGAGATCGTTATAGATTAAAAACTGAGATTTGGGTTCCTGGGTTTTTTGTTTGATTTAGTTTTTTTTTAATTCCGTAGCCTGCCACGCAAGGGAGACTTTCATGTTTCCTTCATCTGTGATTCAACTTCCCTGATGATTCTTCCTTAGATGATAACAAAGGGCTACAGCAGTGTCTAGCTTAGCTCACAGGACTGACTTCAGACTGTTGGATTTGACCCTCAGAAATCCAACAGAAAAAGAAAAAGACACTGAAGAAAAGTAGCTGTGCTTTTTTTTTTTACCCTCAGCTCCAGCAATTTCCACCAGTAAGTTTTGCTCCTGCTACAGCAAAAAAACCACACCACAAATCTAAGGTATAGCACCAAAGAGTAAATAGAAGTTGCTTGAACAGTGTCTGAACTGCTGCTTCTGCAGTGTCTGAACACAAAAATAGAACAGACGATCACTTGTGGTTAATTCACCAATTCCTGTGCAGGAACAAAGTACTTTTCAGTTCAAGGTTTGCTAGAATAGAAAACGCTTCGGAGTTTCGAGATATCAGGAAATCACAACGTACACCTCCCCTAATCAGGCCAGATCTCTTACAACTAACAAAAAAATCAGATTAAGCATTGATAAATGTGCTAGTTCTCACATGGCCCAGACTATTTACAGAAACCAGCAGAAATTACCGGGCAAGCACCTCCCTAGAAACAGAAAATACGTGCTCCCCAGTACAAAAATGACACGGAACTCTGGGCTGCCTCTTCTCCACCACAAAAGGTTCTTGTACAGAAAATGACCACACAGCCACACCTTTGAGAAACACAAGAGGAGCCTGCAGAGGATTCCACATCAGCTTCACAGTGGGGCAACGTTTAGACAGAACATGAAATAAAGATGTGTGCAAGCCCTTGGATGTGCCTGCAAGTATCTCACAGCATGAGAAAAACTGAATGGCCCTTGGAACACTCCCACTGCACATGATGCTGCTCAGGGGAATGATGTCCATGGCTGCCACTTGTGCCCCAGCCTCAGGGAGGGCTGAAATAATCACAGTTTTTATAATTACAGGGAACTTCTATAAACCTGGAAAGGGTTTAATCAGGCTGCAATAGATAAATAATTTTCATTTCCCATTTCCTACACATATACAAACCCCAGAGCCCCCAGGCCAGCAAAGGATGTTCAGACTGAACATGGTAAAGGAGCAGCAGAGGAAATGAGATGAGATGAAGGTTCAGGTAAGTATGAAGCAGCTACAGTTCACCCCAGGACCTCGTGTGGCTGTTCCTCCAAAGGAAAAATCTGCAGTCTTTCCCCCAAGAAGGTAAGATTATTTTCCAGTTGCTTGATTCAAACTTCCACTTGAAAATTTTAGGAAGATACAGCTAATTTTTGAGAATCTGGGGACCCAGTTTATTCCCAGACTTCACTGTGTCGTTGCCATTGGTATTACAAATGTAACTTTGAAAGGGAAGAAGTTTTGGTAAAAGTTGAAGACTAAAAGAAAACAATTTTGCCAAAGAGTATCCTCATGGAAAGGTGATGCTGACCCCTAGTGTAATTCCATACACATTGCCACTTGTCACAGAGCAGAATTGCATTTAAGCAGATTTTTTGGGAATGTGGAATGGGAGGATGTTACAGAAATCTTTTTTTGTTGTTTTTATTTGGTCAGGGAATATGGAAAGGGAGGATGTTGTAGAACACTTTTTCTGTTATTAGCTGATCAATATGAAGCCATTTCATGAGTCCAATTCTTTATGAAAAGAAATAAGGAAAAAAAATCCTCTTTTAAACTAGTAACTCCACAAAGATAGGAAATTTTGAAAGGAATTTAAGGAAAAAGTAAGTGTTGCTACTCGGTTTACATCCTTATTTGCATCTTTAATCTATACCTCACTCGAGTGGAAATGATGGACAAAAAGACAGTTTTGCCCATCTGTGCTCCCTTTAAACCAGACACAAGGCTGCCTAACAGGAAGAGTTTAACTCTGATCACACTGTCTTAAAATTCTATTCAACTTTAAACAAAGACCTTTCAGAATGACACTGCGCATCTGAGAATTTAGCTTGGAAATTTAGATGGAAATTGAGAATTTAGATGGAAAAATTTAAAAAGCCTAAGCACATTTTCACGCCAAGTTTTGCAAGAAGCAACTAAGTTTTCACCTGTTTTTTTTACATATTTTTCTTGCAAAAGGTCCAAATATACTAGCTCAGGTCCCTGTGTAAATAAGACCATCTGTTGAATACTGAATTAAAGTCATTTGTGCTACTGGGACAGGTGTAAAACTCAAACTTTTACCTGTAAGACTTTTTGATATCATCTGAAGTGGCATTTTTGTCCAGCCCCAGCACGTGGTATAGGGATTCCCCAGAGGTAGAGAGCGAGCGTTGCCTCTGGTCTGCCATCCTGAGCTAACCTGAGGAGAGAACCGGCCCCTGCCAAAACAAAAAGATTAACAAATGCTTAAACAAAGAATAAAACAGATCTCATGAATCAAATCATCCTTAAAGTCAGGGTTTGCACGTGAAAATTCAGCTTTTATAAGGTTTAAATGTGCTCTGAATGGCTCTTCACACATGTGGAAGGTAAAAAGTTACAAAACTCAGTGAATTATCAGTGAAAAGAACTAATACATTTTCAGCACAACACCAGGCATCCTGAATCAACACTGTGTATACTCAACTCCCAAATCAACAGCTGAGGTACAGCTATAGCTATGTACTGCACAACACATCCCTAAAGATACTTCTTAATATTCAGATTAAGAAAGAAGATTATTTGTGGTAATATCTATAAAAATAATTAATTACACTTTAACAAAAAAACCCAAACCTCCCCACACCTCCCAAACTCCAGTCCCACATTTTATCACCGACACCAGGTCAAAAAGAATCCTCAGGACAAGTCCAGTGTGCCCAGGCCTGTGCATCCCACGAGGAAAGAGGGAATGCCCACTTCGAGAGATGGAGATCTCCCCTCTAGTAATTTAAAGTTGAGGATCCAATATTTAACATGCTTTCTAGTTAAACCCATGCTACTTGAACATGGATTAACCTCCTGCTCCACATCCAAACACGGCAGACCCCAGAGGTGTCCCCTGTGCCATGGCAGGGGCAGATCTGGTTATGTCCCCTCCCATCCTGAGGAGATCAGCTTTGCTGTTCTTTAGCTGCAGAACTGCAGCCAGGATGAGCATCCAAGAAAAGACTATTGGCTATTTTTGGATTATGTCATTACAATTAGCCTACACCAGATTATGCAGCCTTTGAAAAAGATATTTAAAGCACCAGACTTTTCTAAATTAACCCTATGTCTTATATAACAAACTTAATAACTCCAGCTTTCCCAAGGCTGGCTGAAAGCAACGCTCTCAGACATCCCCCCCTGTGCTGCCTGGGTGGAGCTGTGACCTCACACCTCACAGAACCACAGCTCTGCTTCTCCCAACACATGGGAATTGTCCCACCCACACAAGGGTGACCAGGTGACAAGGATGTGGACAGACATGTTACCACTGTCTTGTTCAGCTCAGACCCTGCTGCCCATTCTCTCCCACATTTGGCCTCTCTGACTCTACATTCATTTAACACTCTGCTCCACGTCCAGTTGTTTTAACTGGAATACACCACCTAAACCAAACTCTCATCTTAATCTCCTTCAAGAAGTCTTGGGCAATTCTACCAAGTTTAATATAAAACAGCCTAATAGGAAGATATAAATTATTATTATTGATAATAAAAGGTCTAAACTCTAATGCTCTGGCTAAGAATTCAAACTGCACCCCAAATCTGGAAGGTGAATGTGTGGGTAGGGAGAGAAAATCTTTTCTTTTCAAGGACACTGTTCAGTACCAAAAGCTCTCTGTATGGGAGGAAAATCACTGAGTGCTGCAAGACACAATACAAACAACTCACTTATTCAGGCATAATCTGATTCAGTGAAAGGAAAAACATATTTCAGGAACGAAACCCCACACCCAGGCACACAGCAGGCACAACCCTCCAGGCCAGCCTTTTCCCACTGGGAGCCTCCCAGCCCCCTCCATCCCAGAGCTGAGGTCAAAGACCGATGATCCTGACATCTCTCTGGTAATCTATCTAATCACACCAGCCTGCTCCCACTGCTGTCCTGGCTCCCTGCACAGCTCCTGCTGCTCCGTGACCATCACTTCACACCCTCCTGGGAACCTCCCCTCAGCTCCATCACACCAGTCCCCCACCAGCAGCCCCCAGCCAAGGAGTGTCTGTCACTACTGCTCTTGGACAGGGACCTCTGAAGTAGGAAGGAAGGGAAAAAAGCATCCTGATTGAAATCTTACATGTTAGTTAGCTCTCCCAAAGAAGATATTGCTTCAAATGGGAGCTTCCAGGGCACTACAGCATTTGTGCTGTTTAAAGTCTGCAGCTCTGTTTAAGCACAACAAGCTTCCTGTAACATCAATCCAACACGCCCTTGGTGACAGAAGCTGCAGATCACAGCCATACACCCTGTTCTGATTAACAAAATCTCCACTGCTAAATTAGGGCAAATTTGTTTAATAAAAATGAATTCACTTTGACCCAGGTGGTATCTATCAGTCTGCAGGCACAGGAATACAATTCCACACTGCTGCATCCTTAATTGCTTCCATCTGAACAGTCCAGGGGATCCACAGCTTGGTAACGGGGTGTTAGCACTTATTTCTCCAAAGTGGTGTGAAATGCACACCTCGAGCTTGGCAGAAGAGTGGAGGACAAGGTGGTGATGGGAATTCATCTGGGAAGCTTGTTATTTAAGGGAACAGAGGAGTATTATTACTAGGAATGCAACCTTTGGCTTTTTTGAATATGAAACAGACAATAAAGGTGCAAGTTATTTAAGTTCCGAGTGCTTCATAAACCAGGGTATCATCTGTCCTGCTGTTTTCACACGTGGCTCTAATTCACAATCCTGAAAGCTGCCCTGTGTTTTTAAAAACAGTTGTGTTCAGCAGCAAGAAGCCATCTGCTCCCTGTTCTGTATTCTAACCAAGCTGGATGCCCTGAAGAGGCTTCTCTGGGAAGGCTCTGGAGAAAGGTAATCTCCTGGATTAACCAGCAGAATGTTTAACTATCTGTGTACCAAAATATCCTGCCTTAGTCAGCTTTACCACAACAGGCAGCTGCTTCCAGCAGGACCAGGTAAATATAACTGGTACTACCTCGCTGAGAAGACTCAGGTTAAACCTGAGAGGTTTTTATGGAAGCCAGCCTAAATACATTCTAAATACATTCATGTCAGTTCAATTTTACAAAGATTAATTTTCTTTTCAGCTTCCCAAAAGGATCCCATCAAGGTTCATGAAACTGGTAATACTTTAGTTTCTGCCAAGACTGCTGACTCTTTTGGAAGTTGTATTTAACTCATTAAAATGGCAAAGTGTTATTACAGCCAAGAAAAAAAAATGAACAGTTCTCTGCCAGTTTAGGGAATTAAATACTCACAGAGCATCCCAAAGAATGCCTGCACTGAAAAGGGTGACAACAGATCCAGTGGCCAGAAGAAGAGAGGGAGGACTAAAACTCCACCTGACCTGCTACAAGATGCTGCAAAGAATTTCACTGGAAGGGGGCAGCAAGGGGGATATCAATTTTTCCAAGAAAACATGTGGAGCTGTGCAACAGGGCTGTGGGTGGAGGTACCAGCACTGGTCACTCAGGGAGAATTTGCTTGAAACAACACTGAACAGTCACTGTTAAATCTCTGCTAGGAAGAACTACCCTGAAATAAAGGGATGGAGGGCTAATTCCATGAACAACATCCACAATATTTCAGTGCCATTAGCCTCTGGAAGCAGACTAACAGCAGTACTTCTCATTTCACTCCAAGGCTGAAGCACTGAGCAATGAACCTCTGGAAACTGTGAAGTACCACATTGCCTGAAATACCACTTTTCCCACCTCCACCCATGTCAGTCACACAGGCACAGCTGCTCCCTTGAATTTCCTCTCTGGAGGAATGACTGCTTCAGGAAGGAGTTGTGGCTGCTCAGCTCCACTGATCAAAATCAGAAGGGGCAGAGGAAACCAAACAATGCTAACTTTAAAAATACTACTAGAGCAGGACATTGGTGCACACTCTTCACCAGAATTCTAATTTTTTTAATGTCTGTATATTCATCAGTTTAAATTCCTAAAAACCAAAATGAAATCACACCATGACTGTCTGTGCCAATGCACAGACCTGTACACATGTGCTGTTCACAGCACTGCAGTGAACTATCCTCAGTGTGGGGAATCTGGCTGTCAACAGCTGTTCCAGAAAGTGAAATCCCACTGTAAAGGAGAAAATCCACCTCCTCCTGACAAGGTAAGTGATACTCACCCACTGGACACAGGATAAGGGGAGGTCATTAACATTAATGGATATTCTCCTTTGCAAAGGAGCTTGGTTGAACCCAGAACAAAACAGCCTCCCAGTCTTCCAAAAAATCACCAGTAACACAGAGAATAAAGAAATCCCCAAAAGGGACATATAAGAAGCAGGAGAAATGACACAGACCCAAACCATGCTGGGAGTGCTGGGCAGGAGGAGGTGGCTTTTCAGCCCTGCACGTGTCTGCAACACAAACTACCAGTAATGCTGTCAAAGCCTCTGCAATTACAGCTTTAAGAGCATATCAGCAGATGATTAAAGAGTCCAGCTTGGAAACGATGTTTTGCCAGCTCTTACAAAAATTATGTCTAGTTGATGCTTTATTATAGAACTTTAGGAAGCACTGGAGTATTTTAGGAAAGATTTGTATTCCACAAAGCCTTGCTGCTAACTGACTGTGTGGTAAAATATAATGTCAGTTAAAGTTGTGATTCCCGCTTTCCAAAGATTCGCAGTGCAGAAAATTAACTCCAGGCATTAATCTTTAACTGAATTATTCCATCTCAACCAGTATTCATTAGTAAAATTCTAAATAAAAACACTGAGCCAGAAAACACTTCGGTAAATATTGATTTATCACAAAAAAGGCAAAAGCACCACTGGCCTCCACATCCTGTCCATCTGTCTCAGAGTCATTTAGAGTCGTTCTCACAATCTGGTATTTTTCCAGGGTGAAAAAAAAAACATTTGTAAAGGGGAGAGGAGAGAAGCATATCCAAGATTGTGTTACCACTAAAAATATGAGGTGTTTTAGGTTTGGCTTCCTGAGGTACTAAGAGATTTCTATAGGAAACTTTGAACTTTGTTTCCTCAGCGATATTTTGCATTTAAATGAGAAGCTACAAGAAATAAAGAAATTCAGAACTTACCTGGTGTCTAGTTCAAATATTCTAAGGTAAGTGGTAACAGCCTTCACACACTTCTAAAACTGAAACTCCTAAAGACAAAACAAAAGCAAAATAAAATTGTTCACCACCACTTAGGCTGAGGGTTCATTGAAAAATTATCATCACATTACTGGACAGTAAAAATACACAAGTGTTTCATCAATATTTATACACAGTAAGTCCCCACAATGTAAATACTTGTCTTTAGAACTGACTAACTGTCAAAGTAAGTGACAAATATTTAAAAGCATAGATTAGAGGGCTCTATGCTTTCATCTGTAGCTTTGGTCTCTTTTCTCCAATTTTTCACCACTTGAAAGAAACACAGTTACCCAGGTGCACAGAAAATCTAATAAACATTATCGGTTTAAGACTTTGGGCTTTTTCAGCTTAGGCCTTTGTGAAATACCTGTGCTGGGAACAAGAGAGGTATGTCATGTTGTTAGAGAGGGACTGCTAAAGCAGCTTAGCTCACACAGCAGACCCCAAGCTCCGGCACCGGAGCAGCCGGCACAGACCCTGCTCCGAGGAGCAGCACCAGCTCCTTCTGCCAGGACAAATTTCCATCAAGAAAACAGAGGTTTCATTCCATTCACATTCCCCCATCCTGAAGCAGATCACTCAAGGCAGAAACGAGTCTCATTTCAATGTACAAGGAGGGAGAGAACCTGAGATGACCCAACAAGACGTGCTCAGTCTTTCAGCGGTCAAAGCAAAGTCAGACAGATCACTCCAGATCAGTGATCACATGGAAATAAGAGAGTAAGTGGGGAAGAGGAGCCTAGGAAATGCTATATCATGCTGTGGAAAAAAAATAAGGAAAAATCACTGCAACAGATTAAAATATCTTTCCTATTAAGCAGGTACAGGACACACCCTCATCATCAATCCTGAAGTCATTTGTGCATTGGATGGCTGAACAATAAACCTCATGAGTGGAACCTCAGAGCAGCTTTTTCCTGGCGAGTCATCACTTCATCATCATCTAAACCCTTTCAACAGCTTCCAAACAACAAGTTCTGAATGCACTCGAGAAATAAACTCCCCATTGAATTAATAATTAGGCCTTTCACACACTGGAAGGTTTCAGTGTGGTGAACAGAGATGTTGGGAATACACCCAGTGAGCTGCTGGCATTGCTGCCCACAGCAGTTGTTTGGTGCCATCTGTAAGAAGCTGCTTGATCCAGCAGCACATCACTAAGTGGGTATGAATGAACCAACCAACAACTCAATAATCAGCTTACTGTTAAATGGATCTGTTTAGTTCCTTTATAGGTACTGGCAAAGGACTTTTCCTGAAAAACGAAAGGCAGAGAGTTAAAATTCCCCACTCAGAGTGTGTGCAATAGCAGAGGGTGGACCACCTCTCCAAGGAAAAACAACCTGTTTTGTGAAGCTATAAAAGCTCCCATGTTTCCTGCCCGCTGCTTCCTTCACTGCAAAACAATCCACAAAAGGAATATTTTTTTAAGCATCTACAGAAAGCTGCAGATGGTTAATGGGGTTGGCAACCAGAATTATGGCTTCATACCTAGATGAAGAACATCTTTAATTGTACCACTGATTCTGTTTCAAACAGCAACCTTAGATGTTTGACAGCCAAACTGAGAGCCAGCTAAATTATGTTCAATTTATGGATGTACACAGATAGAAATATAGGAGTGGAACAGAAGAAAAAAAGCAAAGTTCAAATGTACTTAGGAGACAAATTGACAAAATGAGCTATCCTACTAAAGTCAGAATTTGGTATGTAATAGCATAAATAACATACAATGATCTGTGAACAGAAGGTTCAAACACAAGATTCTGGCCCAGGCCTCATCAAAACTCCATCAGCAGAAAAGATCATTTTTTACAGCACATATACATATATAATAACCATCCATATACAGAACTCAATATATATATAGCAAAGTATTATCTTAATCTGGATGCAAGCAGCCATACTTCTTCAGTCTTTCAGCTATGCCAATACATTTCACTAAGAGCAAGCAGCCTGATTTACAGCTGAAAATAATCAAACAAGACAAAAATAAACTCCAAAGGAAACTACTTCTTATAAAATCAAAGTATACGAGAAACCCATGCCAGCTACTCCACATCCTGCCTTCCCCAGCACATCCTCCCTGCCAGCTCTGAGCCAGCCCAGCACTTCATCCCCAGGGTTCACTCCCTTGCTTTCTGTTGCAACTGGCAATTCCAATTTAGTGACTCAGGAATGTTTTGATCTCCCCATCCAATCTCATTATTCAGGAGGCCAGATCCACTGACCCAGAGCTCTACATAATACCCTGCTCGTAATTACTTGTAAATATCCCCCCTCCTTATTACATGATATTCACAACCCAAATAAAAGCAGAGAAAATGAAAGGGCAGATGACGGAAAAGAAAGGGAAGTGTTCAAAATCAACATCAAGTTCAACAACACACACACAGAGGAAAAAAGTCTGGGAGAGGGAACACAGGATTGTTTAAGAAGCAGAAAACGCAGATGTAAGCACGAAAATGAGAAGAAAAAGATTAAGGAATGATGAAGATAAGAAACACTAGCAAAGCTACACAAATGCAAATTAAATTCAGCCACACATTAAAACTGTGGTAAGTTTTGAAACACCAACGAAGAAATTCGCTTAGGAAGGCTGCGTGTTCTTGCAACCATTTTGCTCAGACCAAAACCAGCTCTTCCAGCCTTATTTCTTCTGCAAATTTGAATCCAATTTATCTAATACTGTATTTTCCCCACACACTGGAACCATAAATAGTGCTCAGCACCTTTCCCTCCCATAAGCAAGAGACAGATTCTCCCTTTTCCTTCCAGAAATCAGACATGTTCTCAGACCTATTTGACCAAAAGTGTGTTTCTTGTCTCCCCAAGCCTGACAGATGCTGGAGAACCATTTTTATTGAATAATTCCAGTGACAGAACTGTCCTCATCCTGCTCCATATGCTGTTAACAGACAGAGAGAAGCACCTTCAGGATACTTTCCCTCATAATCCATCTCTGCCGTGTACAGGAGCTGTATCACAGTTAGCAAATATTTAAACAAATGCTGCTGCAATTGAGGCAAATAAAATAAATCAATATACAAAGCAGGAACTCCCAAGTGTTTATTTTCACATCCTTACCTGCTCACATCACTTGCAAAATGAATCAGCATTGGAAAAACAACAGGACAAAGCTGAAGGCAAAGCAACCTGGCTAACAAAATGCTTGCAGGAAATCACTACTGCTTCAAAGCACCTTTCTTCTCCCTGTATCTGTCTTGAAATAGTGATTTTTAACTTATTAACATTTACTATTTTGTTAAAGCATCCAAGAGTGTGTTTTGGTGTTGCTTATATTTCTATATCACAGCACAAAAGCCTTTCAGCTACATTTTGCTATTCAGTTTGTGGCCTTTTTGCTAAAGGTCACGTGAGAAATTTCATATCCATAAAAACATTCTGTTTTAACATCTAAGCTCTGATGAAAAGCTAACTGAGTATCCAGGGAATTAAATTAAGTGCATAGATCTTTCTCTCAGAAATAAAAAAGAACTTCACTATGTCCAAATCCATCTGCCTTGGGAACAGAGGACAGGTTTCCAACAGTGAAAGACTGCAACACTAAAAACTTCATTAAATTCTCATAAGCATGAGGGGTTTTTAAAAAACAGAAACACAGAGCTTTTAAATAAATGAAATCTGGAACAATACCATTTTTCTGATAAATTCAAGCCTAAATTGATGTAACCTCCACCACTGATAAGTGTGAGAGAGGTTACACTGAAATTTGTGACAAACTTAACTACAGTGACACGGTGTTGTTTCTCTAATGAGCTTAGCAGATTAAAATGTGGCCATTTAAGTCTGATTGACCAGCCTGTTACAAAGACTTGTGACCTTGTACCCTATACAAGAGTAAGACTCAAACCTGCTAAAGGAAGTTTTCCATATTAGGGGTGAAAAACGTGAAGTATTAGATTTGCATTTTCTATCCTCTCTTGTCAACTAAAATAATTACACTAAAAACCTGGGGGGGTTAGTGGATTCCCTACTTAGGATTTCATTGCTCCTATTTAATCCTTCAGCAATTTAAATTATTGTTTATGGCATTACAGTAAGTGCAACTGCACTGTCACAAACTGCACATGGCTATAAAAAACTTGTGTCTGCTTACTCAGGTATTTAAAAATTTAGAAAAAAATCAGCAGTTCTGTTTCCTTGGCTCGTTATTACTCTTAATTTTTCCTCTCTATAAATTGTGTTTGAATCACTGTAACTACTCACAGCAAGTTCACTAGAATAAATCAGCAAACCCACAACATTCCCTGCTGTGGGTAAAGTAATGCTGATGCCAATTCTTCTGGAGAAGAAATATTTTAAACTTCTTCAAAAGCACCAGTGCAGACATAAAGCTCCATTTGTGCCAGGTGTGTTTAATAAACTGTATCAATTTTTAAAAAATCATATTGATAATGGTTATACTGATACAGTCTAACCTTTAAAATACAGAAAAGGTCTTGGAACAAGCATTTGGGTTTGCTCACATAAAAATGGGATTTAGGCTATTATGTCACACCAGTAGGTAAGACAACTAAAGGCTTTTAGACAGAAATAAAAGAAAAAAATGTCTACTCTCTTCGTGTGACAGAAGGTTGAGAAAACTGGATCAATTGTCAAAATGAGAAATTCTTGGCAGCTTGTCACAAACAGAGAGTTTGAGAGCCAACGCTGGTCCAAGCAGCCCCTTTTTACAGCACAGGCAGCTCCTGCCTGGCAGAAAAAAAAAGAATAAAGGTGAGGTTACAGAGTACAACTGAAAAAAGCCAGGCAAGCAGTCTGAGAGGCAAAAGGAACAGGCAGGAACACATCTTTCAAATTACAAGTTGGTTGGCAAAGGGCAAGATGATTTATCCGAAATTAACTCAGAAGGGCAGGGGAAGGTGGTTCCCCCCTGTGCTCATCAACAGCAGGAGGAGATGGAAGGGGAAGAAATTCAGTCCTGTTTTTCTTTTCCTATCAGTTGTGAGGCAAATGAAAAGGTAAATGAGGGTTTTCCCCTCCTCAAAATTTAAATAATGTAACGCTATGGATTTACAAACTGCAAAACATAGACTAAAATTATTTTATACCTATTTGGTGTTGGAACTGCTGTGCTGTCAAATAAACACTCTTGGCAGTTTCAGTCATGAACAGGTTTTGGCAAAGACTTTGAAATGAAGAGTTTATTTTAAAGGGTAAAAAAGCAAAAGGGAAGAGCAGGTTGTACCAACAGCAGAAGTCAATGCACAGAGCTCCACCCTGATCTCCAATGATCCACTCTGGTGTTTCCCTTCTGAGAAACTTCACCTGTTTTCAAGTTACCAGTCTCTGTCATTCAGTTATTTAATGGTTGGTCTCTTGCTCCACCAAGCACACAAATCTTTTGCTTAAAAAGTTATGAATAAAAAGGCAAAATAAGCAGGACTTATAAAGAATTTGTATTTTCCAGAAACAACCACCCACCCAGCTCAGGAACAGAGAAGTTAAAACACTACCAGGAACCCCATGTCACTGCCTCTGTAACGTCAGAGCTTTTCCATTTCACAGGGTAATTAAGTTTTAGTAATCTAAAATATTCATTTTACTCTAAAAATTAAGCTTATTTATTTATTAATACAGGCAGAAAGTAGACTTTTTCCCCTGATTCACTTTTACCTTATGTATCCAATCAGGTCCTCCCAGCCTAAGATGATGGATAATTATTCAAGCAACACTTGTATCTTCTCACTTTAATTCCAAAGGCTTTTAGTTCCAGAGATTATTTCTTTTGCGAAGTTAAAAAATTAAGCGTAACTAAAGATCCTCTCTTCTCCTAATGGCTCAACTGTATTTCCCCAGTTTTTATGGAGGGTGGGGAGGAGACTTCGCTATTTCATTATTTCACTTCCTCACAGAAACTGACAGAAAAAAAGAACATTTTCGTTTCCTTCTGTCAAAAAAAAAAACCAAAAACAAAAAAACAAAGCAAACAAAAAAACCAAAACAAAACAAAAAACAAACCAGAAAACATGGGCTTCTAACATACCTCCTTTATTACATCATAAAGAGCTGCAGGAGAGCTGTACTGGTGACCAACCACTGTGCCAGTGGTCATGCCTAGTAAGGACATCCCTGCACCAATAACCAGGAGTTTTAATCACAACCTGCTCTATCCAAGAGGTTCCCACTGGCACAGTCCCTCCTGCAGGTCCTTGGTGCCAAAGCACTGATTGTCACCATTGCCTGTTGGTCAAACACCACAAACACAGCAGGACACCACTCCTGCAGCTGAGAAAAATACATCAGGACACGTAATTGGTGTTGTAAAAGATATTTTAGGCTTGAGAAAAACAGCCAAAGACCCCAAATCAAAACAAACCCAACGAAAGGCCACCAGGAGTAAGAGGTGCCCTGATTACAAAGGGGGCACAGACAAAACCACTGCGAGGGGGGAGCACAAACCCAAACACACCAAGTGCCCCCAGAGACCATCTCCAGGCTCCAGGTGAACACCTGCCCAGAACTCAGCTGACACAGAAAGCAGGAATTGCTTTTTCCACGGCCTGAATCAAGGACAACACTCCCCCAGCAACCACCAAACCTCACCACTTACCCCACAATCCTGCAAATCACAACTATCCCTGCACCTGGAGCAGCAGAACAGGCCTAAAAACTGCAAGTGAAATGGCAAGTCACCAACAGATTTACTAAACCAACTGATGCAAACAAATATATATGTATTTTGGACATGGAAGACACTTTTCATGCCACAGATTCCTTCTCACTGGATGGTGTCAGGTGTTACAGGAAATGGTTTAAAAGCCACAAGGAGATGAGTTCCAAACCTGCCCCATTCAAAGCCCTGGCCCCTGGGCATTCAGAAGCATGAAAGGAGTTAAGACTTCAGAATTCCACCATAAAATCTCAACTGACCAGCTCAGCTTTTGCTTGTTTTGGCAGGAAAATACCACCAAGATCCTTTTGAAGGCTGGGTAATGCTGGCAGTGATGCCTTCACTGCAAATATTTCTGTTTCTTCGCAGGTGAATTAAACCAGAGCCCATGTCCAGGGGGCACCTTGGGACAGAGAACACATTTACTCCCTAGTGATCCCAAAGTTTTGAGGAAAGCCACTATGAATGCACTGCTAATGTCACAATAATCTTACAATGTCCCCAGAAAGCATTACCCAGTACACATCCCATATGTTGGGAGTCAGCTCTTCTGCCTACAAATACCCAAACAAATCCCAGGGCTGGATTAAAAGTGGTTTTAATTTAAACTGGCATTTTCTTACAGGAGACAAAACTCTTTGGTATTTTCTAAGTATACAGTGTGGTTTCACCAACAAAAAGATTTATTTTATACTACTCCTCCACAAACCATAACGACGTTTATTTACCCTGTTCTCTCACTCTGCATACATTTAATCTGCAGACTGCCTGATGAAGTATGTCCTCAGCTCCTCCATTCAGTCTGGCAACAGTATTTCATGGCTGCTTAAAAAAGAAAAAAAAAAAAAAAAGGCAGTCTATAATTTAGAAATAATAAGGCAACTAAGAATGTATTTGTCCTACTGATTTTCCCACTAACTCACTTTGTGATTTAACAAGGAAAGACACGGCTTGAATTTCAGACCATAGACTTAGTTTGCAAACCTGACACTTCAGGAAAAACCCATGTTCTAGACTTTAATTGTAACCGAGTTTTCTAACATAATTGGGTGAGAAATAGAAGACATATAAATTTTATACCCTTAGTTTTCAGACAGGAATCACATTTCAGGCAGCTTAGAACAAAAAGGCCACTATTACACTGGGGCATAATTTAATCACTGCCATTCCCAAGGCCTTTCAGTTCCAGCACAAAGTATAGAATTATCACATTTATGTCTTTTTCTACCAAAATAAGTGAGAATAATGTCACAAACCCCATAGTTTTTGTGACTGTGACACTTTTATTCCTCCCTGTGATCTTCACTAACACCAGTGTGACTGTCTCTTCCCTCTGCCTGTACCCCTGACGTGATGCCATCAGTCCAGTGTTAAACCAGTGTCATTCCTAAACATGTTCCCCAAAGCACGAGGGTGTCCCCCTGGAAACCCTTAACAGGAACAAAATTAGTTGTAAAATAACACCTTTCTTCATTTAGGGTTATTTTAAAATAGTATTTTATACATCCACACGTTTAAACAGTCTCAAAATAGCAAGGAAGAGTGAAAGTCATAATAGATCATTTTTAACATGCAGGAGGGAGTCCCTGGGCTTTATAAGAGAGACGTCAAACAGGACAAGTCATGGGAAGAAATGTGGTTTTAAGAAACCAGGGTAATGAGTTGTGCATTACAAAACAACTGAAGAAAATGCTGGGTTTTCATCATCCAGGATGTTTCATCCAAAATATATTCCAGTCCAGGCCCCAGAGTAAAGTCATGTTGGCTGCTGTCCCCGTTATCCAAACCACTCAGTGAAACAGTGAGGTGGGCCTGGGAAATTATACTTTGCACCTTCCAAATACCTTCTGATTAACTCTGATTGCCTGGTTTTCCTGAGGTAGTTGTGAATAGCAAATGCTGTGCCAAAGCAAAATTTAAAAGGGCAACAAGAATGAAATCAGCGAGTGTGGAAATCAGGAACTTTTTAGGAAAAGAAAGAGTGAGACACCTATTAAGGAAGGTAAATATTTTCACTAATTACTGTCCAGACAAAAATATTTCTGTTGAACAGGTATTTATTTCGCTCTGTGACAAAAATGGTCTGCTCCAAGCCAGAATATTATTTCCCAGCATTACCTTTAGGGCCTTCAGAAGAAGGACTGACTGACCAGTGATTTGTCAAACCAAACCTCAAAAAAGATAAAACAAGTTTTCTGAAGAAAAGACAAGTTTCAGACCCTATTTTTCTTTCACCACTCAGACCAGGACAGCTCCAAGACACACATAAGAATCATACACGTGTGGAAAGCAGGGACCCTGTATGACAGAGCTCATTAGTTATCAGATGGAAAATATTCCTAAAATTCTCAAAGAACAGCAACTCAGAACCTGGAATTAGTCCATTCACTGCTCTAAGCAGTAACTGAATCCAGCTTTTAAACTCAGAACAGGAATGTCTCTGGCTATAGCTTCCAAGAAATGGGTCACCTCAGATTTCAGTGGAGGGACAGTTTTGTGGTCCCATCCCTCCTCCTCAAGGAGCAGCAGGCGAGGAGATTTTGGGGGGTGCTGGGAAGAACACAGCATCCAGGACCTCCAAGCAGGATCCCAACAGTCACTCCAAACCTCTTCCAGAGCTCACAGTACCCACCAAGGTCCCCTGTCCAAAACACCACGTACATTGAGTCGTGTGAGGTGTATTGGATGGGTCCAGTTTTTCAGATCAAAGCTGTCATCAGTCCCTGGTGGACCTGAACTAGAGCAGATCTTAAAAAAAAAAAAAACCAACCAGCAGTGCTTCAATTCCCTGTGCAGATACCAGATGACTTCATGAGGATCCCATGTGCCCCCTGTGAAAGCACATGAACACTCATTAAGTTTATTCCCCTTCTACCCACTTTTATCACAACATCACATGTCTCCCTAAGACTCTGAACAGGATCTTGAACATCCCATTTTGTCCACTCATCCCCCTTCTTGTATGTCAAAATACCAGAAGCAGGAGCACCATCTTCCATGCTGACCTCAGAACTACAGAGAAGTAGAGAAAAATTAAGATATTCCTTAACATATTTTTAACAACAATCCCTCAGGAAATGCTGGAAGCAACCTGAAATTATAAATATCCCACCTGATGAGGCTTAGCCTTGGTAGAACAAATTACCTGCATTTGGCATATTCAAGATTATTGCAGATATTTTCACTTGTAACTGCCCACAACAACATCTGGAGTTTGGCTTCCAAGTCCCTCCTCTCTATGAGCAGCTTGAAACCTAATTATGTTTTTCCAGTAAGTGTCCTTAAATCCTTATGCCATGAGAAGCAGATTCGTAAGGAAAATTCTCCAACGACCGACCCAGGCAAAGGCCAACATAAATTAAACTGCTACAATATTACCATCAGAGCAACAGAAAATCCTGGGAAGATATAAAACATGTAATGACAGATGGAAGAGAAAAAGAATGTTTTCATCTGAAGCACAGAAAAAAATTGAAGACATAGAAGGGGAAATGCAAGGAGAAAACCTCTGTGAGTTTCTGATTTTTGGAACTGTAATAGGTCACTGCAATGACATCAGTAAACTTTGGGCTTCTCCCACCTCCACTGTAAAACATTAGCAACCCAGAGGTTTTGTATATTCACTTTTTTCTGCAGATTGTTCCTTAAAAGTTGCAAAGGTTCCAGAATCCCCGACACCAAACACAACTTCAGTAAGACTCAGATGAAGCCAAAGAAGGACCGTGAAGCTCCCTGGGACCAAAGCAGGATGGAGTAAGTGCTCCTAGAGCACTTAACTGTGTAGAGCACTTTAACTGCATAAAAGCAGTTAAAACCAGTTCCTGGCAGATATATAAAAATATATTCTCAGAGGGAAGAGGAAGCCCAGAAGGCAGGAGGGGGAAGCATGGGGTGCTGGTGGGTCTCTGGTTTGTGCTCTCCTATCACTGCCTGTCGTTGCAAAGAGATCCACAGAACTATTCACTTGCACCACTCATTGGTCAGAAGCCACAAAAATACCAGTTAATGAACACAGACTTATGTCACAAAACTCAAAAAACCCCAAAAAAAAGGTTCATTAGTGGTGCTTTGGTAAGAAGTAACCAAATGCCACTGGGTTTTTTCTTTGCACAACCATTCACCCAACAAAGTTTAGATCACGGTACTGAAGTATATTAAAAATAATAATAAAAAAAAAAGAGCCCCAATCTTTCATTGAGAAACTC